TGGCCGCGGAGTGCCCCTCCCGCTGCCCGGCTTGCAGCCCCCAGCCTCAGAGGAGGGTGGGGACAGCACAGCGCCGCCCCAGGGCGCACACAGATCGGGTTTGGCGAGGTCCCTGGAGCAGCCAGGGCCTGGAGCTTCCGCTGTTACCTGGGGTGGAGACGGGACGTGGGGTGACTCTGAAGGGCCCCCAGGTCCAGTCTTCCCAGGGATGCGGGCAGGGATGCATGAAGGAGAGGGGCAGAGGAGGCGGGCGCTCAGGGATTCACTGGGGTGCAAGTGAGGGTCAGGGGCGTCGGCCAGCGCTGCCCCGGGGAAGTTCTCCAGCCAGGCTCGGTGGTCCCCATAGCTGTCAGGAGTCCACCCCGCCGAGGATGGGCGGAGCTGGCGGTGTGGGCGGGAAGGGCCCTTGAATAAGAGCCCAGATGCTCCCGGAGAACTCCTTTGAGGACCTGAGTGTATCTCTCCGATTTGCCAGCGCTTTGTCTTGGTGCGGTCATGTGCAGGGCGCCACTGTCATGGATCCAGATGGTCCGGCCCCACGACGCCAAGCAGCCCCGGCTGTGAAGGGCATGGTGCTCCTGAGAGCTTCAGATCATCTGGGACCTCATGGGCCTGCCGCGACCACACTGTATGGCTGGGGACGACCACCCCCGCGCGTGTAGGGGTGGATGCAGAGTCATGGGCGGACCGCACTGGAGGAGGCAGGAGCTGAGCTGGGCAGGAGAGGCCCCTGTGCTGGGCGAGCATCACCGAGTTCTGGTGGGCTCCGGCGGCACCAAGTAGGCGGAGATACCAATGTTGCTTTTTGCAATATCCTGGAACGTTTTCCAAATGCATCTCATCACGGGATTGTTGAATTGCAGGTGCAGGCGGAGGCCTGGACGGAGCCCCCGCCGGAGAAGATAAACCCAGGACAAGGCTGGGCTGGGCTCCTCTCCCTGCTCCCCAGAGAGACGGGCATGGAGCAGCAGTGCCCCGTCCCTTCCTCCGCCCAGCCCCAGCTACCAGCTTCCCTCACACTTCTGTGGGCCCCGAGCCATCCCGGTGCCCTGACCTGGGGAGTCTCCAGCTTCCACAGGCTTGGAAGTGGGGATGTCAGGAACCCGTATTACCACCCACAGGTCGGGCAGCCTGGGCTCCACACGTGGGAGGTGGGGGAGCCCTGAGCATCCCTGTTCTCTTCCTGCCTTCAGCCGCCACATGGGCCCCCCATGGGTCTGTGACGCTAGTCCCTGGGGATGCCCCATGGCCGTGGGATGTCAGCATAGTGACAGCAGCAGGCGGGGACGCCGCACAGCCCAGCAGTAGCCAGGGGACAAGTTCAGGAGGTCAGAGCCCGAGCCACCAGGGAGGTGCAACAGGGTGACCAAAGGCTGAGGTCAGAAAGTCAGAGCATGGGCTTCGCCCACCTGGGCACAGGTGGGCTGAGGGTGAGGCCGCTGGAAGAACAAAGGGGGAGGGGCGCGGCAGTTCTCACCGAGGACTGTAGGGTTTGTAGGTACCGAAAAGCATACAAATCATTCCACAACCAGGCCAGGCCCAACACCCAGTACAGCGGTGTTACCTCAGCTACTTGGAGCTCAAGGAAGGAGGAGCAGAGTGTGAGGCCAGCCCGGCAATTGAATGGGAACTTGTCTCAAAATAAAAAGGGCTGGGCTGCAGCTCAGTGGTGGAGCGGCTGTGGGTCAAATCTTCAGTCCCAGAGAAAAAAAAGAAAAGCACTGGGGATGTACCCCAGTGCTGCCCAACATGCTTTGCAAGCAGAAGGTCCCGAGTTCAATCCCCCAGCACCAAAAACAAAGAAAAACCAGAAAAGAAAAGCAAGCCCAGGCCTTTCTCAGCAGCAGACACATTAAATCCAGGGTCTGGACTCCGGCTCATCACAGCAGGGGACATAGGGGCTGGACCCTGTGCTGTTACAGGGAGGAAGGGCCACAGCCTCCCTGGGAAACGGGGGCACCCAGCACCCTGGAGATCCAGCCGGGCCTGAGCCCATGTTGCACCCCCACAGGGAGGCTGGGGCCTGGGAGTTGTGGCTGTGTCTGGAGGTCCCCAAGTCTGACACCTGCTGGAGAGTGTGCTGGGGAAATATCGGCCAAGGGCCCTGGGATTAAGTCTGAAGAGGTCAACAGGGGCTGCTAAGGTCCCTGTTGCTTTTGCTACCTCGTGGGTCCCACGAACTGTTTCTTCTCTGTAGCGCTCCTCTGCCACATGCTACCCCGCCTTGGAGCGGACTACCGACTGAGAGCCAAACCCATGCGTGGAGCAACAAAACATGACACGGGGGAGGAATACTACTCAGCCAGAAAGAGGGAGGCAGGATGTGGACACAATGCCACGAGACGCATCTTGACTTGGAAGCAGGAAGTGGGACGGGTCACAGGGCAGAGACTTATTTATGGGAATGAATTTCACTTTTGAGACCAAAGGTTCTGCAGGCCTGGTTCACACCCGAGTAAACACACTTAACAGCCACACACTCAGGTGGTAGCCAGCTGAATGAATGATCGGGTCCCTCAACCCCACCTCAAAATATAAAGATGGTAAACTCAGTTTGTTTGTTTTTTCCGGTGGGGGGGATTAAACTTGGGCCATTGTGCTTGCAAGGCAGGTGGTGGAACCACTGAGCCAAATCCCTGGCACAACTCTTTAACAAGAAAACAAAAAAAAAGTTTAGTTTTTTAAAATCACGAAAGCTATTTAACCCAATCTTCCCAACTGGAGGATTAAGACAAGTAAGGCCTCAGGCACGGTAGCCCATGCCTGTGGTGTCAGCACTGGAGAGGCTGAGACAGGAGGATTGCCATGAATTCCAGGCCAGCCTAGGTTGCACGGGAGATCCTGGCTCAAAACAAACAAAACGAACAAAAAATGGGAAGCTAGGCCCAGACAGGAGGGGCTGGGAAGGTCTTTGGAGTGATTGGTCAGTCAGGGGGCACATGACACACTGGACTTGGTACCAGCTCTGGCCTGGAGGAGTCCCCAGGGGACATGGTGACCAGGCCTGGGCAGTAGCCACCTCAGGTAGGGAGGTGAGTGTTCCCAGGGGAGTGGGGCAGGGGCCAGGAGGTGGCCTGGCCACGCATACAGACCCTCCCTGAAAGGACCCCAGCCTAGCTGTGACCCAGGGCTCTACTGCCTGCCCAGGCCCCATGGCCTTGCAGGGAATGCAAGTGGCCCGTGCAGTGCGTTCGGTGGCGGTGGCGGGGGCTTCAGGATTTGGGCTAATCCCAGGCACGAGGTGGGCAGGAGGATTTGGTTTCCTGCAGATGCCTGAGGCCTGGCTGGAGCCCAGGGTGCAGGAGTGACAGGCAGTGGGGCCCCACCAACAAAGCCTCCTTTATTAAACAGATCGAGCTGCATTCCAGCCAAGGAGGGGCACGGTGTGGTGGGGTGTCCAGTGGGGCTGGCCCGGTACAGCGTGTGGACCCCAGTGTTTGCAGCAGAGGTGTGGGTGGGCACCCCGAGGTCCCATCTGTGCCGACTCGGAGGCCTGTCCCCTTCCCCACCTCCGTCCCAATCTTGGTGGGAAAGGGTGGGGGTGGTGCTTGGGGGCCCCCACTTTGTGAGACAGAGCAGGGTGGGGGAGGCCCATGCCCTCCTAGCCTGCTGCCTTGGGGCAGAGAGGCAGGGGCCAGTGTGGAGCGGGTGCTGGGGCAGGGGCTGCCCGCCTCGGAGGCCCGGCTGCCCTGGAACTGTCCTTCCCTTCCTGGAAGACTCAGCTGCCACAGGGGAGGATGCGCCCTGCCCAGGGTCCCCTCCTGGATGCCCAGCACCTCGGCCCACGGTGCCTTTGGGAGATGCTGGTGTGCACGGTCCGGTGGGGGTGGAGGCCTCAGCTCTGAGCTCCAGGCCGCTCTGTCCGTGCGTCCATCCAGGGTAGGCACTGGCCCCTCCTTGCTGCTCTGGCTCGGGGCCTGCTGTGCCAAGGCAGGCGCTGCTCCGGCCAGGCTGCACCCTAGCCCTCCTGCGGGAAAAAGCCCAGCTTGGCCAGCGACATCTCCTTCCGCAGCCTCATGACCTCCCAGAACATCGGCTCCACTGCGGGCGGGGACACGGACAGCTCAGGGTCCTGGCCCACCTGTCCCCCTGTGCCACACCCCCAAGGTGATAGAGGGGACCCCCACCCACCCCACCCCCCCCAGCATGCGGGGCCTCCAATGCCTCAGCCAGCAGCTGGCTTGGCCACCTGTGCCAGCCACCAGGGGGCGCTCACCATCCTGCCGCACCAGGCCCTGCTGGATGTAGCGGATGTAGGTGAAGAAGTTGCACACCGCTGTGATCTGGGGGAGAAGAGGATGTGAGACCCTCGGACCCCACTCCTGGCTGGAGGCCAGTGTGGACCTAACATCAGACTCAGGGTGGACTGTGAGGCTGTGCCTGACCACAACGACACCTGTCTGGCTCCCAGGTCAGGAGGCCAACAGTAGGGGCTGTGGGGTCCCTGCTGCTCCTGCCCCCTGACTGGGTGCTGAGGGCTGGAAGGGGGAGCACAGCACTCCCACCCCAGCCGCAGACCTCGGAGGCCGTGCGGGAATGGGAGAAGAGACACCGGGACAGGGGTCTGAGCAGGGAGGGAGCAGGCAAAGGGTCCCCTCCCACACCTGCAATGCCAGGCCTCCCACTGCACCCCCAGCTGCTGCGCACAGCCCAAAGCCTGTCAGGAGGCTCGGGAGGCTGGCTTGGACTCTGCCGCAGGGCCCACCAGGATAGGAGAGGCGGGAGGGCCCTGTGGCCACCGAGCAAGCCCCATGGCCTACACCCTCCTCAGCCCAGGTGCGGGCCTCCTGGGAGAACTCGCGGGTGTGGACAAGAAGCCTGAAGACTGAGGAGCTGCCAGGCGCTGGCGAGGGTCACGTTATCCCTTGGTCCTGGCCCAGGCAGGGCTGCAGGCAGAGGGGGCGGCACCTCACACCCCGCCACGCGTCTCCAAACAGGCCTCTCCTGCTCCTCTGCTCCCTTTGCCCTCGCTGAGGCCGGGCCCAGCCTTGAGGGCGGAAGCCCATCCCTGCCATGCCAGCAGCCTGGCTGGCCCAGCCAACGTGCAGGCCTGGGAGCCCGCCGGGAGGCTCTGGTCTTCCTGCTGCCTCCCCTCGGTCAGCCCCGCCCGCATAGGTGCCTACATGGCACAGGCACCGAGCCCCTGTGCCAAGGACACAGGGCAAGCTGTGCCCCTGGTCGGGCAGCGAGGCGGGAGAGTGTGGCCTGAGCCACACCCAGTCTCTGCCCTCTCGCCTGTGTGCCGGGGAGGTGGGAGACTCACCCTGGCCCGGGAGGATGGCGAGATGTAATAGTGGCTCTCGGAGTCCCCAAGCCGGATGCGGTGGCGGCAAGGGCTGGTCAGCCCGCTCAGGGCACACTTGCTGAGGACAGGGGGCACTCAGACCGGGCCCCCGGCCCCCAGACCCCCTCCTGGTGAGAGTGCTCACCAGCCTCACACTACAGCCCCTGGAGCTGTTCCTGCTGCTACCGGGCCTTGGAGCCATCACCCTGCCCCAGCCATGTGTGCCCTGCTTGCTCCCCTGGGCCTCTTCCATGAGCCTGGGCGACCGGGTCCCCAGAGCCTGCCGTCTGGGCCCAAGGGCCCTCCCCGCCTCTGCCAGCCACTCTCCCCTTCCCCTCCCTGCTAGGACCAGGCTGCTCCAAAACCCATGTGGACGCCACCCTTCCCAGCGGTCTCCCTGTTGCCTAGGAAACGGTCACAGAGCCTCCCAGGCAAAGGAAAGTGCTGGCTGCCAGGCTTGGCAGGGTGCTGGCTATGTCCCCCTTCCCCTTGGCTGTGACACCGAGTGGACGGGGCGTCCAATGACGACAGAACGCCAGCCCTGTGGGGGAGCTCATGCCCACAGCGCCACTCCTGCCAGACTCCTGAGCCCAGGGGACCTGGTCCCATAGGGGTGGGCAGCTGCCCGTCCTGTCCAGTCCCCAGGCAGGAGGCCCAGCTCAGGGCTCACCTGGTGCGGCCACACTCCGCAGCGGCCCTCGTGCCAGGCTGCATGTGTGAGACCACTGGCTCGATGGTGAGCGTGTTGTCCTCCACGGCACCCCGCACCAGCGCAGAGAGCTGCACAAGGCGGGCAGTGAGCGGCATGGCCCTGGCTGTGCTGGATCTCGGCTGCCGCCCACCACCCTCACCTCGCGCATGGTGAAGTCCAGGCAGGGGCCCACATCCTCGCGGTACACCCTGTCCAGGAAGGGGCAGGCCTTGTCCAGTGTGGGCGCTGCCCTCCAGGCCCGGAACTCTGAGAACAGCGTGGTGTCGACCTGGGGCAGCGGCGGGCAGGCGGTCAGGGACCCAGGTGCGGGTGACCAGGATGGGCAGGCGGCTGCACCCAGGAGAGGAGCCCGAAGCTCCTGCCTGTGCTCAGCTCCTCAGCCCTGAGGCTCCCAGACCAGGCACAGCCTCAGGCTCAGCGCCTCCTTCCGGTGCCCACTGAGCTGTTGCCTGCCAGGCAGAGGACAAGCAGGCGGCAGGGGCAGTGGGCGGGGTGGCCAGGCTGGCTCCTGGGCCAGGAGAGCGCGGCCTTCTTGGGGAGCACACAGAGGAGCAGGGAGAGGAGGGGGGTGAGGCCGGGCTGGGCCAGAGGGCGGACGGACAGACGGACAGAGACAGACAGGAGGCAGGAGGAAACGTCAGTGGCCAGGTGGGCTCTGGGACGACGAGGACGGGAGGGTGGGCTGCAGCCCAACAGCCATGTGCCCACAGCTCCTCCTGTGGCCCCAGAGGCCCGTTTACAGCAGGAGGAAATGGAGGCTAGCGGCAGCCTCCTCGCCCAGAGACCGCCTGCCCACACACTGGCCAGGAGGAGGACATGTGTCTGGGAACAGCCCCAGCACCCTCGGACAGGGACAGCCAGGTGGGCCCTGCGGCTGTGGACGCACCCTGGAGCCGGTCCAGGTCCAGGAGGCCTGTCCCTGAGGGGTGCTGTGTGTCCCCCCCACAAAAGGTGCAGGGGCCCCGAGAAGGCGGCCAGGCCCACTGGCCATGCCACCCGCGTCCCAACGCCTGCACCTCACCTCCCTGCCCTCCTTGTCCGGCGCGAGGCCGTGCCCTGGGGCAGGGCGCACGGTGGGGCCCAGGGCCCTGCTGGAGCTCTGGGGCCGCCAGTGTCCTTTGCGGGGCCCAGCCTTGGTGGGGCTCTGCAGTTGCGGATGCAGCTCGTGATTGGGGGAGGCCGGCGTGGACGTGATGACCAGGGTCTTCAGGGCAGTCACCTCCGCCTGCAGCATGTCGATCTGCACGGGGGTTGGACCCGGCCCCTGAGGTCACCGTCCCTAACCCTAACCCAGGGCCGCGTGCACAGTGGGGTGGCTGAGCCCCACGGGAGCCACGAGGGGAGGACACCCAGCTCACCTTGCCCCGCGCCTCCTTTAGCCGCTTCTCTGCTGCCGCCTGCTTCACGTTGGCCTCCCGCACCATTCTGTGGGCCTCCTGAAGAGGGCGGGGTCCAGCTGAGCGCCCGGAGCTGGACCCTGCCCTCCGGCCCCACTGCACCTCACCTCGCACCTCGAACAGGCTGGCTGTCAGCTCTTCCAGCTCCCGCTCCAGCTGCTCCCGCACACGGCACAGCCTCTCGCACTCTGCGTCCTTCAGCTTCAGCTCCTGCAGGCGGTAGCGGGCGTCAGCCACCCTGGCTCTGCCTGGGCCAGACCTGGCAAAGCACTGCACCCCCGCCTTTGGCACGGAGACCCCTGGAGACCCGACAGGGCACAGGCTCGGGTTTGAGCCCCAGCACGACGGTGAGTGAGTGAAACAGACACAGAAGTGGCCTTCCTTGGGAACGTGGGGTGCTGTCCTTCACCCCCCCATGGCCCGGGGACCCCACCTTCTGGGCTCTGCGCAGCTCCTCCCGCAGGAACTCGGCCCCCTTCTCGCGGATTTCCATGGAGGAGCTGCGCAGGCGCGACACGTCCAGCGGGGTGACGGCTGCAGCCTCCTCCCCCGAGGGCGCCCCCTCCACAGTGGCCTGGGCAGGGGGCCCGGGGGCCTCCCAGTAGCCTCTGCTGGGGTCTACGCCCTTCCAGGGCCCCGGTACGGCAGAGAGGGGTGGGGGGAGGCCCTGGTCTGGCTGCGGCAGGCTGCAAGGCAAACAGGAGAATCAGTGCCCTGGGGTGGGGTCACCCACCGGGCAGGGCCACAGCCAGCCCGGCAGACACAGCTACCCTAGCCTCCACTCTGCATCCATGGCACAGAGCCACTGATAGCTGTCTCTGCCCTCTCATGGGAAGAGTGACCAAGCCTGAGCTCCAGCCCCACACGCTGAGGCTTGAGGATCACCATGAGTTCAAGCCCAGCTTAGGCCGCATAGTGAGTTCAAGGCCAGCCTGAGCTACATAGTGAAACCCTGTCTCAAAAAAGCAAACAAAATAAAAAAAAATAAAAGGGGAAAAGAAGCGGGAGGGGAGGAGGACAAGAAGAATCAGAACCCTGGCTTTTCCGGGCGAAGGCCCTGTCGACTGCCAGCCCAAGGGCGGCTGTGCACCCTAGCAGGAGAGCAGAGGCTGCCTTCCTAGCTAACTGTGCAGTTCCCACAGGCGAAACCCTGCCCTTCAGGGTGGACCAGAGGAAGCAGGAGGGCGCCCCTCAGGAAGAGCTTACCCACAGCCCAGGAGGTGGCCCATTTCCGGCTGGGCCTGGTGGTGGGCAGCACCCCTTCTCCAGGCCTCAGATGTCCCCCTGTACTGAGGGCCCCGCTGGGAGCAGCTCAATGCCAAGACAGCACCTCCAGACTCACTGGCTCAGCAGAGCCGGGCCTGAGCCAGCATCAGGGTGGGGGTGTGGGGCAGAGAGGAAGTGAGGGGCACGTGTGGGCTGGGGGCGTCCCCTCCCTGTCTCAGACCCTGAGGTCCTCCCTCTGCAGTACCCAGCCTGGCTCAGTCTCCTGGACCCTCCCTCCCCGTGCACTGTGGTGGTCCTGAGGTAGGGTCGGCTCGGGGCCCTCACGCAGGGCGCCCTGGGGATGGAACTCAGGGCCTTCACGAGCTACACCCCAGCCAGTTTTGTTTTGTGGCAGGGTCTCAAGTCACTAAGCTGCCCGGGATGGGCTCAACCATGTGATCCTCCTGCCTCAGTCTCCCAGAGTGCTGGGAGTGCTTGTTTTCCGTTGAAAACAATCTCCCCATTATACAGATGAGGGAAGGGGCTTGCCATGGTCACCCAGCTGGTCAGGACTCTGCTGAGGTGGCAGCCATGTCCCCAGTGGAGCCCACAGAGAGTGGTTCAGGTTTGGGGGCCACGGGATGGGGGTACTGGACCCGGGTGAAGGCTTCAGGGCTGGGACTGGAAGGTCGGACCCAGCTCAGCCCACACTGGCCCCACAGCCTCTGCTCAGCCCCAGGAAGCAGCCTGCTCCACACAGGAAAGGGGACTGATGACCCACAGGGGTGCTCTGGGGACCCCAGGAAGCCAGGGGGTACAGGGGGAGGCGGGGACTGCAGTCCCCACACACATTTGAGACTCAGATCCCAGAGGAAGCAGGATGGGCTGGCAGGCTCGTCCTCAGGGCGGCCCAGACTGACTGAAGCTCCGGCCTGTCCCTCCCTGTCCCCGCACCCCGCAGAGCCCATCTGGGCAGGGACTGCCAGGGCCTGAGGGATAAGGGTCCGGTCAGGTGGGGCAGCCAGCACCCCACCTCAGGCCGCTCTCTGGCTCAAACAGGAAGTCCCTGGGTCACTGTGGGCCACACACCCCCTGCTCAGGCCCACAGGCAGTGGCTGACCCACAGGGTTCCAGAGGCCTCATGACACGGGTCTCAGGGACGGGGGTCCTGGCTCTGGGTCCAGGCGGCACCATGGCATGGATGGAGATGAATCCAGCACCGTTTCCATGAGGCAGCACTGAGTTCAGAGAGTGGTGACCGGGCTGGAACACACAGCAAGGGCGCACTGGAAACTGGACTAGGGGCACAGGCCAGAGGGGCATAGGACTGATGCTTGGCAGAACAGAGAAGAGGCAGAGGAAGTGAGGACCGGGCCTCGAGGCGGAGCTGGGGAGAGGCTGGGGGACAGCAGGCTGGGAAGCGCAGAGAGCCACAGGGGAACTGGGAGCACAGGAACTGGGAGGCCAGGGAGGGGACTGGCACGGAGGGTGGTGACTGCGGGGCAGGCAGGCAGGGCGGCTGGCGGGT